TGTGTAAAGAACATTTCTCTTACTGCAGAAGGGTCACTTTGGAAAATACGAATTCTACACACTGTAGGGAGACCTCAAACTCACCAAGGGGTTATAGAATCAAAATGCCCAACTTTGGAGTTAGACCCTTTTACACCCTAAAGTGTCAGGAATGGCCAGCTTAATTTTTGCCATGCTTTAGCGATGTAAGGTTGTTTTTTTTAATTTAGCAGATTTTTTTTTTGTTTTTTTACCTGTCTTTTGGCCTTCAGAATCTATGAAAATATTTTCTTTTTTCAAATTTTGGACAGAAAAACAAAATAAAGGAAAAAAATAGTTTTTATTAAACTCACCATTCTCTCTTTTTACTCTTTTTTAATTTAGTTTTTTTCTTTCATTATGAAATACTATGTAAGTACAGAAAGTTCACGAAACTTAAAAGTGCAGCTCAGTGAATTACCAGCAATGGAATCCCAGTATAACTGCCACCTAGGAAAAGATAGAACGTTAGCTGTAACACAACCCCGATTTCCCCATCTCAACCATTATTCTACAGTTTACCACTCATGAGATTATCAGCACTACCATTCATGGTGCCTAGTTTTGAACTATTATCATACAGTGTGCGTTCTTTTACTCAATATTTAGTTTGTGAAATCCATTCATGGTGTTATAAGTGAAATCTTTTCATTTTCCTTGCTATATAGTATTATTTCATTGTTCTCTGTATGTGTGTGTGAGAGAGAAAAATTTATATCTTTATAATACCGAGTCTGATCAATAAATTCGATGTATCTATCCATTTATTTAATCTTCTTTTATTGCACTCAAGCAAGTTTTATAGATTTGCATATAGAGATCTTCCACATCTTTATTTCTAGATATTTTATATTTTTAGTATTATTGTAAATAGTGTATATTTTTAAATTTCATGTCTTAAGTGTTACTGGTATATGCATGTCTGATTATTCTTGAACGTTGACTCTGTACCATAGTAAACTGATAGCTGACATTAATTTTAGTAAGTCATTTCATATTCTCTTAGATTTTCTACATACATACTCACATCATCTCTAACTCTTAACTTTTATTTCATTCTCTCTAATTCTTTAGTATTTTTCCTTTCTTTGTTTTCTTGGCATCTTGTACTGTGCTGTTTAGTGCCTACAATTAAATGTTGAATAGAAGTGGTAACAACTCACAGCCTCTAAGATAGTCTTTAAAAATGCTTTCTTTGGAATTCATTTGAATCAGTTCTAATGAGATGGATGAAACTGGAGCCCATTATACAGAGTGAAGTAAGCCAGAAAGATAAAGACCATTACAGTATACTAACACATATATATGGAATTTAGAAAGATGGGAACGATAACCCTATATGCAAAACAGAAAAAGAGACACAGATGTATAGAACAGACTTTTGGACTCTGTGGGAGAAGGCAAGGGTGGGATGTTTCGAGAGAACAGCATCGAAACATGTATATTATCTAGGGTGAAACAGATCATCAGCCCAGGTTGGATGCATGAGACAAGTGCTCGGACCTGGTGCACTGGGAAGACCCAGAGGGATCGGGTGGAGAGGGAGGTGGGAGGGGGGGATCAGGATGGGGAATACATGTATATCCATGGCTGATTCATGTCAATGTATGACAAAAACCACTACAATATTGTGAAGTAATTAGCCTCCAACTAATAAAAAAAAAATGCTTTCTTTGTTAGTAAGTATGACATTTTCTGTCGGCTTCCTGAAAATACTCTTTGTGAGACTAAGAAAGATTTTTTTAATTTCCAGTTTGCTGGAGTATTTCTAGGTTTTCAGTAATTTTATGATTAGATGTTAAATTTTATCTGTGCTTTTTATACTTCTACCAAGATGATTATAGGGTTTTTCTCCTTTATAGTGCTAATGTAGTGAATTTTAATGATTTACTTTTAGATGCCAAACAACTTTTGCTTTCATTTAATAAACTCATCATGCCTGTTTAATTTTTGCAATTTTCAGTTTACTAATTTATGTCTTTTTTATCTACAATTATATGAAAGATTAGCCTGTCATTCTCTTTACTTTACTCTTTACAGATTTTGTTTACCAAAGTTGTGTCTTCTTTATAAAATATATGGACTTGTGTCTTGCTTTTTTCTAATCTTAGAAAGAGTGTATGTAAAATTAGACTTAATTATTGCTAAAACATTTGGTAGATTTTTTCCAGAAGGTCTGAAAACAATCTACTGGTCTTGAGTATTTTGATGAGTAGGTTTTAATTGTGGATTCAAAGTCTTTAATACTTATAAGATCACTGAAATGTTCTATTTCTTTTGGTAGCAATTTTTATACAAATTTGTCCATGTCATCTCAGTTTTCATATTAATTGGCATTGAACTGTGCATATAATCCTCCTCTTTTTCCTTCTAATATCTGTAACATTTGTAACAATATACCTTTTTAACTCCTATTTTTCTGCCTTTACTTATTTTCTTCATCAATCTCAAGAGCTTTTTTTTTGCTATTTTTTAATATTTATTTATTTTTATTGAAGGATAATTTCTTTACAACATTGTGTTGGTTTCTGCCATACATCTACAGCTTTTTATAAATATTTCCAAAGAACCAAACTTCTGTTGGATCATCCCTCTCTGTTGTGTTTATCTAGTTTCATCTAGTTTACTAATTTCTGCTCCTATATTTATTATGTCCCTCCTTCTGTGTCCTTAGGTTTAACTTGCTTTTCTTTCAACTTCTTGAAATTGATGAGTAGATCATTGATTTTCAGACTTCTTTTCTTATAGAAGTTGTGAATTTCCCTTCAAAGACAAATTTAGCTACATCCTGTCAGGTATCAAAATGTGGAGTTTTGGTTTGGAGTATTTTTATTATCACCAACTTCAAAATATTTTTTTACTTCTCTTGTGATTTTTCTCCAACACATGGCATAATTCCAAGCATATGAGGGTTTTCTGTTTTTCTTAGTTCCACCCATATTTGGCAAGCCCTGGGCCTGAATTTTTATAGCCACCTGATTTTGAAGACTTTCAAGAGCATTGCTCAGCATCTCAGTTTCTTACCTTCTTGTTAAATTGGCATTTATCCCTTAGGAGAAAACAGGCCTAAATACCAGGTCACATTTCTGAAGTTCTTCTTCAGAATCTTCATCTTCTAACTTTTTACTGCTTTTTTAGCTCTCAAATGCAGTATTTGTTCTTCTTCTTCTTCTTTTTTTTTCTAGTTGCTATCAGTAGGAGGATTGTTTTGAATTTTTTCCTAATTACAAGTGTCAGGAGTCAAGATTACCAGTACTTTTAGTATTTGATTTCTAAGTACAGATATCAAATAAAATGTCATTTTATGTGGACTCTCCAAGAAATTTGAATTTCCAAATTTCAGACTTTATGCAACAGATGAGGAAAGCTCAACAAGTATTCTTTCTTGTGTGTGATAACAATTCAAATCAAGGGTGAAGACTTCATGGACATAAACCTTCAATTAGCCTTTTCAGTCATGAATTTATTGTTCTACATTTGTTACATTTATTAACATCTTTCAGTCTTTAGCAATCATCTTGCTCATATTTTATTATTATTTTTTCAATTAGTCATTTTTCTAGGAAGTTCCCACTTGGTTTAAAAATGAACATTTTATTTTGCTTTCATCTTTTGAAATCCAAGTGAATATTTCCGTTGCTTTGGAGAAGAAAGTATCCAAAATGCATCATAACTGCTTTTGAAAAAATATGTTCCAGATATCAGAGGTTAGCCTATTCTGAGTATATTACATCAGAAAAATAGCTCAGGTCATACCCACAGGGTATGTTTTTACTGCACTGAAAGCTTAAAGGTATTAATATTACACAGTGAGAATTAGTGGTTGGCATAAAAATCTGCCTCATATGATAATTAATTAAATCTTGTTAAGCAATTCACATATTGATGTATCTAGGCAAATGTAGTATTATAGCTCTTTAATTTATTTTTACACTTAGCAGAAAACTAATTTATTTTAGAAAGATTGTTAACTTCATATAAAACATGTATTCATTTATCAACTATTTACCCACATAATATGAGGCAGAAACTGTTATGTTTAGAAACTGTATAATGAGGAAGAGGAGAAAATAAAAATATATAAAATATATGAAAATATTTGATTTAAAAAAATAGGGTGGCTGAAAGAATGGGGCTGTGGGAATTATTTTAGATAGAATGACAATTAAGTGTTTGTGAAGAACTATCATCTGAGCAGAAACTTAAATAAATTAAAAGGAGAGGCATTTTTAAGTTAAAGAACAGAGAATTCCAGGCATAAAAATTGCAAGTACAAAGGCCCTAGGACAGAAATCATTGTGGCCCCTTACAAGAAACTAGAAGGACATTCAGAGAGTGGGAAAAGGTAAGTCAGAAAGTGGATCTGAGATTAGTTCATGTAGGACCTGGTAAACTTTGATAGAGATTTCAGATTTTCATTTCTTTTTTTTTTTTTTTTGAGTGACAGGAATCCACCGGAAATTTGGATCAGGAGAATATGATGATATCGTTTTCACTTTTAAAAAGCATCATGATGATAGAGTGGTAGCTCCTGGAATGTAAACAAGTAAACTGGCCAAGTGGTTCAGTAGTGGCACTGATATATATACAGTGCTGTGTGTAAAAGAGATAGCTATTGGAAATCCGCTGTATGTCGCAAGGAGCTCAGCTTGGTGCTCTGTGATGACCTAGGAGGGCAGGATGGAAGTGAGAGACGGGAGGCAGGTTCAGGAGGAAGGAGATATATGTATACATATAGCTAATTCACTTCATTGTACAGCAGAGAAACCAATGCAACATTGTAAAGCAATTATCTTCCAATTAAAAAGTAAATAAACAGCTATAAAAAAAGTGGTGAACATAAGCAAAATACAGAGATCTACACTGATGTTATGTAGAAAGATTCTCATTACTTACAAGTTAACTTGCTATTGACTGTGTATGACCTCAGAGTCTCAATAAATACTTGTTGATGTTCTTTTATTCTCTGCTTCCTTCCACAGGTGGAGAAGTCCCATACACAACTCTGGCCACCCGAATGATGATGGGGGCTTGGTGGCTGTTTGCTTTGATTGTAATCTCATCTTACACAGCAAATCTTGCCGCTTTCCTCACCATCACCCGCATTGAAAGCTCCATCCAGTAAGTAGACAAAGATTCCACTTGATGCAAAATATGGGAAGTGACAGAAGAGGCCAGAGCTATTTAAATAAGTATGTGGTGTCTGGTAATAAATTTACAACTTCCTTTTGAGTAAAGGCTTAATTTTCTGATGTGCAGACATCACAAATAGTCAAATTCCTGAAAGTACAGTTTTGGTGGAGCACTTTTTATAAAATAACTTCTGGGTATAATTTGAACATTGCTTAAAACATTTTCTTGGAAGAATAAGACATATTCAGATTTTTAACCTCTGTGAAAGATGACTATGTCTCAGCAGTATTATAAAAAAGAAGGAAAAAGGAGTCATACCGAAATATGTATGTTTGTATGTGTGTGTATATATCTATCTATATATATATATATGAAGGTTGACACTCATAGTCTCTGCCTTGAATCTATCCCATTATGCAGTGTCTGAGTAGATAGGTAGACACTAGGAAATTGAGAAATAAAAGACAGGCAGGGAGGGAGGGAAACAGAGAGAGTGGTAACCCAGAAGTAAAACCACATTCTGTCTCTTCCTTGCATGATAGCTAATACGAATATTATTGCTGCTGTTTTTCCAGCTGCACTAGTGGTAAATTCTCATTAACTATGGTGCACTTTTGAATCCTGAAAGCTACCTGAGTCAATGCTGCATTTCACAAATGACATTCCTGTGAGCCCCGAGAATCCAAAGGCCTTTGATTTACTTGGCCAGTTTTACTCTATGTGATTTCACGCCATAAGGTCTGGTCAGTGCCACAGTTCAACTTGAGTCTCATAATGCTCTATATCTGGTTTTAAGAAAATGTTTTCTGAAAATGTTTTATTAATCCAAAAACAAAGTAGTTTGAACTTTTCTACAGTTAAAAAACACTTGTTTCTCAACAAAACTGACAGTTTGAAGATTAGAATAATTAGCTTTGTCAAGGAATTCATTAGAGATTTAATTCTTTAAGAGAAAAAATATGAGTTCTTCTTGCCTTTAAAAAATATGTAGATTAATTCCATTAGTAGGTACAAAATTATTATAGCACAATACTAAATATAAAATCAAGAATTAATGATCTAAAAAGAAATAGGGTATTTTTTTCAATTGCTTATGGTATATAAATTGAAAACCCCCAGATTAAATTCATGAGTCAATTATTTAATCCATTTATGAAAATGATATTTCCAACTTCTCTCATCAAATCTTAGTCTTCAAGTCATTTTCCTAGTTATTTCTTTGGTGCAGAACCCCCATATCCTTTCAACTTACTACCTTTGTATCGTAGCCAGTTCTGTGTGTGACATAAGTTATAAGTGATGCAGAGTGAAGCTCATGGAAAATTTAAACTAGTGATCCCATCATGTTACTATTTTAAGCAATAATGAAAATGATTATAATGTTCCAGCCCAAGAAATCAATGAGTTAGTAAAATTATGCAAATAAAAAACATTTATTGAGCACTCACAAGATGACAAACTTTTTGCTAGATGTTTGACACGCATTGGCTCATTTAATGCTTATAACCATCTTCTGAAATACATACTACTTATTAATTGCCCATTTTGCAACTGAAGTTGAAAAGATAAATAACTTTCCTCAAATTGTAAATGTAATAAGTGATTTATTAAAGATCAGACCTTAAATCTGTCTCATTCCTGAATCTATGTTCTGACTGTACCACACTAGTCCCCATTCCGTACCCTTGTGCATTTGAATGACCAGTTGTTTCTAGGGAACATTGTAAAGGATGTGTCATAGCCTTATTCATTGTTAAGTATAGTAATGTAAATAAAGACATTATACAAATGCTCGATTTGTTTGAGAAAATAAAGTCTCAAAAGTTAGGAGATTTTTGTGTTGGGTCAGTTCTGTAGGTGAATATCCCAACATGAGCTAATTACTTCTATAATTGATACCTGCCTTTCAGAGTAAGATTGCTTGGCACAACCAGTCAATAGAAACTGCACTGAAAGAAACAGTTTTTAAAAATCAAAATGGGGTATTTTAATCTCACTAATATACTGCTCATCAACTTTAACATGCTGTATTTTAAGAGTAGTTAAAGCTGAAAATTTGTGTATGTCAGATTTGGCTTTGAAACATTTAAAAATAAAGAAAGAAAGAAAAATTTAGATAACTCATTTGATACAGTGTACAACAATAATCATAAATAATAAAAATTATGAACAATATTCACTGAGAATTTATTATGGATTTATTAAACATATTATATATACCCCCTTCAGTGTTCAATATTACCCTAATAATACAATTACTACTATTATTCCTACTTTGTAGTTGAAAAAACAGCAATTTGAAAGTTAAATGCTCACTATCACAGTGTGAATAGTGTCAGAGCCGGAAATCCAACCCATGTTAGTCCAATACCAATTCATGACTTTACCTACTGAAGTTTTTCTTTATTTTACAGTTTGTCTCTTGATGAGTATTACAGTTTGTTTGCTTGATCCACTGTTTCACTGGGCTTGTAGGCCTTAGGGTGTGTGTGTATCTGAGCTATTTGGTCATTACCAACTTTGCTAGCATTTATTTGTATCTAGGCTTTAATGTAATAGCAGTGGGAGCAAAAGTCTCTATCAAATTTTTACACCCATAGGTTTCTCTAAAGTAAAATTTAATGGAAACAGATCATAACTGCACATGATGTTTCCCTTAAGTGTAGTTCCACAATCCAAAATAACTGAACGTTCATTTTTTTAACAAATTATTTCTTTCAAATGCCAACTCATATTATTAAAAGCCAACCATGAGTATAATAAACCTCCCCTTCCTTCTAATCTTATCACTAGACTAATTATGAAAGGGGAAAATCAGAGCCAAACAAGTTAAAAGAAGCCTGAGTCTCTCTCCAAACTTAAAGATATCTTCTAATTTCATGCTTCAGCTGTGTTGGTAAACATAATTGTAATGTTTCTTGGAAATAGTCAAAGTTGCATTTATAATTGATGTCAAACTTTCTTGGAAAATTCTAATTTTTCTTAGAAAAGATAGAAACTTTTTTCAGAAAACCATCCAGTGTCATGCTTCTCCATCATTTTATATTCATGAGATTTGCTCATCGTTAAATGAAGCAATCCTCATCAGAGTACCTTTTCCCAGCCCAATTGCTGTGCTATTAGCAAGCATCTACTATCCACGACTTTATTCCCAAAATGAAAAACAAATATCATCTATTAATGAATATATGTGGTATCTAGAAAAATGGTACTGATGAACCTATTTGCAAGGCAGGAATAGACATGGGTGTACAGAACAGATTAGTGGACACAGTGGGCAAGGAGAGAGTGAAACAAATTGAGAGTGACATTGAGGAATATACACTGCTGCTGCTGCTGCTAAGTCGCTTCAGTCGTGTCCGACTCTGTGCGACCCCATACACGACAGCCTACCAGGCTCTGCTGTCCCTGGGATTCTCCAGGCAAGAACACTGGAGTGGGTTGCCGTTTCTACCACGCGTAAAATAGATGGTTAGCAGGAAGCCGCTGTGTAAGCCAGGGAGCCCAGCTGTGTTCTGTGATGACCTAGAAGGGTGGGGTGAAGGTGTGGGAGGGAGGCTCAACAGGGAGAGGATACGTGTATACAAATGGCTGGTTCGCCTTGTTTTACAATAAAAGCAAGCACAATGTTATAAAGCAATTATACACCAAAACAAAAAACACAAATTGAAGTCACTTCTTGACACCAGGAGAGGTAAAGGTGGTTAGAGGACTGTCAGTGAGAGAAACAAAAGCAGCTACTTTTAAACAGGTGGTTGATAGAAACCCTGATATTTTGGTAGGAGAAATCCAATAGATTTATTCTTAGGAAACTGAATACATTTTATAAAAGGTACCTGTTTTTCAAAATTAGGCATTTACTGTCATAAAGTGTCTGCCTGCAATGCTGGAGACCCGGGTTCGATCCCTGGGTTGGGAAGATCCCCTGGAGAAGGAAATGGCAACCCACTCCAGTATTCTTGCCTGGAAAATCCCATGGACAGAGGAGCCTGGGGGGCTACAGTCCATGGGGTCACAAAGAGTCGGACACCACTGAGAGACCTCACTTCACAACCTTCCAGTTGGCACTTGCCATTAATAAAAATGTTGAAAGAGAATTTTCTCTGGAGAAGATAACTGACAAGTTAATTTCATATCCCTTCAGTGATGGGTCAGTCCAACATAGCTATGTTCTGATATGAGGTAATATGACAGATTGTGACACAGTTGATGTATACAGTACAGTTGCTAAAGAGGAAATTATATGCAATTTCTGTAAGACGCGAATGACATCTAAGCCTTTTATTGTCACTGAACAGTAACAACAAATAACTAAATTATTTGCAAATACTTAAAAATTGAAATATAAATTTTTCTGTCAGGCTAAAAAGTTGTTCTTTAGTTGTTAAGTTGGGTTTGATTCTTTTTGTGATCCCATGAACTGTAGCCCACCAGGCTCCGCTGTCCATGGGATTTCCCAAGCAAGAATACTGGAATGGGTTGCCATGCCCTCCTCCAGGGGATCTTTCCAACCCAGGGATCAAACCTGAGTCTCTTGAGTCTCCTGCATTGGGAGACAGAGACTTTACCACTGAGCCACCAGGGAAGTCCTGGGCTAAAAGTGCAATGATAAGATGGAGCATGTGAAGCTTTGAAGGTATTTTCAGAATAAATATTGGGTAATAATATCATCAGCATTAACTATATTAGTCTTTGCATGCATGCTATGTCACTTCAGTTGTATCTGACTCTTTCTGACCCTGTGTACCATAGCCTGCCAGGCTCCTTTGTCCGTGGGATTCTCTGGGCAAGAATACAGGTATGGGTTGCCACTTCATCCTCCAGGGGATCTTCCTGACCGAGGGATTGAACCCATGTCTCTTAAAGTTTCCTGCATTGGCAGGCAGGTTCTTTAACACTAGTGCCACCTGGGAAGCCCATATTAATCTTTACTGTGATATAATTTTCAAAATCCAACTTATTGCACTTGTAAAAATGAAAATAGTTAT